TTAATTAATAACATGTTTGAGTGGGGAACCGAGAGAGGTGCAATGATCCATGACCTCCAGCAGACAGGCGTTCACGTAGGGCAGCTGGGAACGGTGGGACAGGGCGGGCAGACCCTCACCAACAACGGCATCAAGCTCCTGCTGCACCTGTTCCGGCAAAAACAGGGATTACTTCTTCTTCATTACTGCCTAGCCCCACAACGTGGGCTTATCATCGGGTAGGTGTTAGTAAGGTAATAGTACGTAGTCTCTTCTCCTGGCATGGAGAAGTATGGTGACAGTGAACAGGCGGTTAATAAGAATTCTTAATGAGAAAAGAAACCTACAGGTACCGACATCACTTTTACATATCTATGGACACGATATACAAATGTACAGGACAAGAATGTTAACGCACACGGTCAGAACAACGGTTAACTATGGTTAGGGTAATAAATTAAAAGCATAATGTTTTATTTATCAATCTAGAATGTATACAAAAAACAAGACGCTTCTATGACGTTTAATGTCATCGTATTGCTAAAGTTCTGTCTCTAGAAACACACACAGAGACGAAGGTACAGTGATATATCACTGATGTTCTCGTGTTCATATAAGACGCAGGAAAAGCACAAAAAACGACAAGGAAGCGGACGTTGCAAACACAGCAAGAGAAACCGCTAAAGGAGACACCGAAACTGAAAAAGGAAGATGAGAAAGAAGGTGAGAAATGCAGAGGCGTTTTTATCAGTTAGAAATGCACATTATAGAAGATGTAGAAATGGGAACTTGTTGCTTTACGTTTGACTTTGTTGTAAATGGAAATTGTCTTGTTGTAAAGGTATTTCTTTGAGCCCTCTACAGAAAAATGGCCTCTACAGAAAAGATATGGAAAAGAATGAATGGCAAAGGTAAATTTTGATAGTTCAGGTTCACTGATTTCAAGTAAGATCTATTAAACAACGCAAATCTTTCGTTTCAGGGAGAGAAGAAGTTGTTGCCACGACTACATCACGACAAACACAAGACATTCCGGGTGACGTCATAACAAAAGCTCAACAGCCACTACAGTCCAAAGTGCTCTGCTCATTCCAATAATAATCTGCTCGCTGTTTCCTATATTATGGCTCTAATTGAGTTTTTGTAAATTTGAAAGGTTGACATGCTGCCCATGGATGAAACTATGGCAAGCAGTTTCTCGGCTGTGACACCGGTAATGACCGTGCACCTAGACACCGAGGAAGACTTCCTAAAGCCTGTCACTGTCACTCTACCCTGGACATGGAAAAGCTGTGACCTGGGCAGAACCATCCTGATGAAAAGGTCCACTGATCACTGGTCGACATTAAGCACCGAGGTTCGAGAGACCAAGGACACGATCACCTTCACAACGTGTCACTTCTGCAGGTAAAACACTTAGCTGGATAAAAGAAACAAGAGAAAATATCTGTTTAATCAAACACGAGTATTTTTTAATGAGATGACAGGTTATTCATCATTGGTCAAAAAATATGTTGAATCTATTTCCATACATTTCACTGTTTTAGCGTTGTCGGTGCCAAGAAAAAAGANCTGATGTTCTCGTGTTCATATAAGACGCAGGAAAAGCACAAAAAACGACAAGGAAGCGGACGTTGCAAACACAGCAAGAGAAACCGCTAAAGGAGACACCGAAACTGAAAAAGGAAGATGAGAAAGAAGGTGAGAAATGCAGAGGCGTTTTTATCAGTTAGAAATGCACATTATAGAAGATGTAGAAATGGGAACTTGTTGCTTTACGTTTGACTTTGTTGTAAATGGAAATTGTCTTGTTGTAAAGGTATTTCTTTGAGCCCTCTACAGAAAAATGGCCTCTACAGAAAAGATATGGAAAAGAATGAATGGCAAAGGTAAATTTTGATAGTTCAGGTTCACTGATTTCAAGTAAGATCTATTAAACAACGCAAATCTTTCGTTTCAGGGAGAGAAGAAGTTGTTGCCACGACTACATCACGACAAACACAAGACATTCCGGGTGACGTCATAACAAAAGCTCAACAGCCACTACAGAGTGACGTGACGATTCAACAGCAAACACAAGACATTCCGGATGATGTCAAAATAAAAGCTAAACATCGACGTCAGAGTGACGTGACGATTCAACAGCAAACACAAGACATTCCGGATGACGTCATAGCAAAAGCCAAGGAGCGACTCCAAAGTGGCGTGACCGAGGAGCAGCTTGGAACAGCCGAGCACCCGCGTCTCTCCCTCTGGGACTTCGGCGGCCAGGCCACGTACTACGGCTCGCACCAGTGCTTCTTCACGTACCGCGGGATTTACATCCTGGTCATGTCACTGCTGCAGAAGCTGTCCGACCCTGTTCCTGATTTGGACTACAAAGCTTCAGCGGACAACCTCGTAACTGGAAGAGGTACGTACTACTTCTATAACAATGGCAACAACTATGCGGTTAACTCCAAAGCTTGAACATGGGAATTAAAAAAGAACTTAAGCACACAAGGACGTGTTGAAAAGCTGGCAAAATAGATTTTTTTTATTTCGTACGAGAAAATAATGAAACACTCTACTTGTGCAGACTACTTAGACCACTGGCTGAACTCAATCCGCACACACACCCTGGTGCACGGGCGGGAGCAGACAGGAGAGCCGCCTGTCGTCTTGGTCCTCACGCACAAGGGTAGGGTCAGCGAGGTATGGAGGATGTTTAGATATGTACTAAACTCTAAGATTAGTCTTTAAGCTTGTCTTTGCCTTAAAACATGTTAGTATCAATGGCTGGAAGGATCAACAGTACTTTGAGGTCTTTAAGATGAATTTGTGCTCTTGATTTCAGTCTGACATTGAGGAGTACAAGAAAGACATACTTGACCATATAAGCGGCAAGGCTGCTGGTAAACACGTCTTGCCAAAGATATTTGTCATCGACAACTTCGACAAGGACAACAGCGACATTGACGAGCTCCGAGAATACCTCCGTGAGGTGGCGAAGGGTCTGTGGTTCATGGGCGAGAAGGTGCCGATCAATTGGCTTCATCTGAAGTCCAAACTGATGGACAAGAGGAGAGATGACGTCCCATTCTGCCGGTTCCAAGATGTCGTGGATCTGGCCCGGAGTGATGACGTGGGCATCACGGACGACAGCCGTGTTGCCGACATTTTGACCTTCCTACACGACCTTGGTGACATCATCTTCATCAACGAACCCGTTCTACATGATCACGTGGCCCTTCGACCCCAGGTGATGATTGACGTCTTCAAGACCATCATCACCGTCCCGGAGTACCAACAGGACAGGAGCACGGATGGGGAAGTTGCCGAGATGTGGAGTAGGCTGGAGACCGAAGGCATCCTCAGTGACAGGCTGTTGACAATCATCTGGACCAAAGCAGATCAGAAGATGCAGAAACCCTTCTTCCTGCGGCACAAGTCCTTCCTGAAGCGACTGATGGAAAAGTACTACCTCCTCTGCAACGCCACGCCGATCGGTGGGTTTGGTGACACAGCGGGCAAGCCTGAGAAAGAAGAGATCTACTTCGTACCTTCTCTCCTGTCCGCAAAGCCTGACGACAGCACCTTGTATCCTGGGCACATGAGGAGAGGCCGGCGTCCTCTGTATGTCGTATTCGACAACATGTTCCTGCCAAGCGGCATGTTCTACCGTCTACAGGCCATCTGTGTGCGCAGGTTTGGTCTTGAAGAGTCCCACGTGTTCGCCGGCTGTGGCCGCTTCCCTACCGACGATGTGAAGCAACAGTTCGTGGTAACCAAAGTGAAGCACTACCTGAAGGTGGAGCTTCTGTGGGCTGAAGACCAGACAGAGTTCACACAGGGCCTTCCCGTGAGAAAGTTCTCAGCAGTTGTCTCTTCGAGATCAAGGAGAAGTGGATCCCGTCTATCCAGTATGACTGGTGCTTTGGGGAAGAGTCAGGTGAAGAAACCGGAACACCAGTATTCCATCCACTGTCTGACATCGAGCAAGAAACGGCAACAGGATCCAGTCGGTGAGACCAGATTCATTTTCAATTTTTCAGTGGATCAAAAACCATTTCATTTGATTAGCTCATCATTCTTCCTGTACGTTTGTTAGACGGAAATATACCAGAGGGTCCGCACATTCCATGTATCTTCCTAACAGTGCATTATATGTAAGCCATGTGTGACTAACTTATAGTTTTAATCTCAGTTTTCCAGAAGACTTCAGCGATGTCTGGATGGGTGGTAGCGGTGACACGAGAACGCCTTGTGCAGGTAAAGCCAATCAGATGGCCGATTTTGTCCAGTTTATATATATTCTTCTTTAAATAATGTTTTAAATCGTTATTGATTACAATATGTTCCACATGCAGAGAACTCAGGTGGTTCCGGACCCGTGATGATAGAGCCCAAGGTGACCCCAGATGATATGAAAGCAGTCCACACGATCGGCCCTGTCCTGGACTGTATGGAGACCTGCAGAGGGCTGAGTCTGGCGCAGTGCGATCGCATCAGGCACGAGCTCACATCCGTCAGCAGGTTCAAAAAGCTAGTTGCCACCGTCGACAGGTCCGGAGACATGTGTCGTCGCTTGCTGGGAGCGTCCGTGGAAGTTTGTCTGCCTGAGAGAGCACCCATGTTCCCCAGGGAAGAGAGAGGTACGTCTTCCCTGGCTGTAGTTTGAAGCCTCTGATTTATCTTCCTCCTTCCTTGATGCTTTGCCTGGTTTAACAGTGTGTTTGTCTGACACTTTGTTCATAAATTACAATATTGATGCTTAATTTTTATTCCCAGGGAACGAAATTGTTCTCCTACACGTCGGAGACTACCACGACATGCTCGTCCAGCCACTGTTGAAACAGTTAGTCCAGTCCTCCAGCAGGTACGGTGTAACGGTGTCTGAAGACTTCATCGAACCTGGCGATATTATCACAGACAAACTCTTAGGTCATCTCCTCCAGCGGAACGTCAGGATGATCGTACCAATCATCACACCCCAGACTCTCCACAGCAGGCACTGGTCCACGCTCGGGTACGGATTCTGCGTACAGAACAAGAACCTGATCTTTCCGGTCTTCGCGTACCCTGATGGAACCAGAGAGCGTTTGCTAGAGGTGCTCGGCAGGCGCTGTGCGGGGATGTTGGATATGGCATCAACAGAAGTACCAATGACTGAAGAAAAAACGTCCAGTACCAAAATCAGTCTTACTGCTACACAGATCCTGAGGAAGGTGCGTTGATATCGGTAGTCATGATCATTGTGCATGATACGATCATAAAAGTCTACTTTGATTTCAGTCAGAATGACTAACACGGTATTGTTTCTACAGGCGTCGTCTTCTGTTGTTCTGTACACACGCCAGATCACAGAAGAAGGCTGCACGGTTGTAGAGGATGGCGTCACTATCTCCTTTCCGAAAGGATGCGTCAAGAAGAAAAGGTTCATGTCTTTGGAGGTAAGATCGTCTTTGTTTCCGTTTGAATTGTGTTACTGTTTACTGTAGTGCACAAAGTCTTGTTTACTATGTCTAAAAGTTAAACCGAACTCAGAATCATCCTAGACGTCGTAGGGTAAAGCATAGCAAGTAATAGCTCTTTTTTTTGCTTCCTGTCTATGTATCTGATATCTCTGGAGAAGAAGAAATGTCAAGCCATGAATGAAGATCACATCATAGTAAATCTCACAATGTTTTCTGCATAAATATTTCAAATACAAATGTAACTTACATTATGTACATTTACAATATATTCTGGCTCAGAATATTCCTATATCATGGCTCTAATTGAGTTTTTGTAAATTTGAAAGGTTGACATGCTGCCCATAGATGAAACTATGGCAAAGAGTTTCTCGGCTGTGACACCGGTAATGACCGTGCACCTAGACACCGAGGAAGACTTCCTAAAGCCTGTCACTGTCACCCTGCCCTGGACATGGAAAAGCACCTGCAACCTGGGCAGAACCATCCTGATGAAAAGGTCCACTGATCACTGGTCGACATTAAGCACCGAGGTTCGAGAGACCAAGGACACGATCACCTTCACAACGTGTCACTTCTGCAGGTAAAACACTTAGCTGGATAAAAGAAACAAGAGAAAATATCTGTTTAATCAAACACGAGTATTTTTAATGAGATGACAGGTTATTCATCATTGGTCAAAAAATATGTTGAATCTATTTCCATACATTCCACTGTTTTAGCGTTGTCGGTGCCAAGAAAAAAGACAGTGCTGCAGAAGACTCCTCTACTGGCACTAGTACAGAACAGCAGGACGAGGCGGCCAATCAAGAGGAAACCAAAGCTATAGATGTCCTTGTTACAAGGTACGGTGACGACAAAGTGCATCTCATTATCAGTCCCAATGAGGCAACGACAGACGACAAGCGCATTCATCTGCTGTGCATCGAGAAGGACAAAAAAGTCACGGACTACTTCAGAGCAGATAACTTTAAGACACCACCGCCGTTCCAACAAGAGGTCATTATGGACAAGAAGGAGAGAATCCGTGCGCGATTTGGCGAGGAAGAGGACGTCATTGGAGACCCACGTGACATTCCGCCGGAGCCACCTGGTATTCAATTCGTCTTCCCGCCGGCGAACTGCAACCGAAAATCAGTCAGACTGAAGCTGCGAGATCCGCAGATAGGAAAGGGGAAGTTTGAAGGAGCAGTACATTTCACACTACTGTCAGAAGCAGGTGAACCAGTGAGTGACCCCATCCGTCGGATAGATTCAGCCCATGTCTACCTACACTCTCTGCAAGGTAGGCGCTTTTTTATGTACTAGGTAAGAAAAGGCAGACAATTGCAAAATTGATCTTGAAACAAAACAGCCAATTATATGAGCAGAACTTCTTTTAGGACATGGTAGCAGCCCTTATAAGGTTGGGTCTAAAGGCGTAAATATGGTATGGTAAGAAAGTGAGTCATAACTATTAGTAGTAGTTTTGGTTCCGAAAAGGTTAGCACCAGACGAGCGTATCACGCTTTTATGCAGTTGGGAAAATCGCCATGTTTTCTTTATGACATCAGGCAAGAAGAAATCCGGAAAACGACAGTCCAGCCTGCCAAGCGATAGTCCCGCGTTGGCAAAGAAAGCAAGGCGAGGTAGGAAACCTTTATTAATGTCATCTCTGTTCTGATGTCCATGAAACTACTTACTAAATAATATAATATACATGTAAGGTAATGCCATGTTAGAGTAGATGATTGATGCCATTAGCTACACATGCCTTGAACGTGAGAATCACGTGCCTTGACGTATATACGCTTTCCTCCATGAAACCTGTGTTTCTGTTTCCGTGGTAGATGGAGTCACCGAGGGTAGGAGTAACCAGGTTTCTGTAAGCCTGTCCTTTCCACAAGCCGCGCAGTCCGAACAAGGTGAGGATATTTCCTTTAAACTAAATGGAAATTCCTTCAATGAATATTGAAGGCAATTTTATACGCATTATTATGAATTTCAAGGTATTCAGTGGCATCTATATGTATCATTACGTATCATCGCATCATTATGTATCTTGGAATCTATAATGCGACATAGATTTTGTTAGTAACAACTGGATATTTTCCATTCGCAGAGGTCCCATCTGTTCTGATGGTTAACGATAAGTACGGTAAGTCTCATAGAAGTAGGTCTACCGAAAACCGTCAGGTGGCCCAGTTTCTGCAACAGCGCGGTGCTACATATATGATACAGAGACAAAAGAAAGTTGAACTTCTTGGCACTCCACTAACCATGAATTGTCTTTATTTAAGCTGTAAACATTCTTATCTTATGTCCATTACAGATGAAGGAGGGACAAGTCAGGTTCAGCAGAAGGAAGGCACTGTGATCACCATGACAAAGGCGTCCCAGATACAACATAAGAAAGGTAAGATATAATAATTTTGTACCATTTTCTAATTTCTTCTTCGCCTCTGCCTGAAAGTTATCATTCCGTACGACGTTAGGTCAGACAGGAGAAGGAAATCATAAAAATTATGGATAACATTACATGGCATATATATTGCTTAACAATCTTATTTTGTTACAGGTGGAAAGAGGAAAGCCAAAACTCGGCATGTTGGCGAGTCCAGCGACAGTGAACCCCCGGTAAAGCGATCAAAGCAAGGTATGGATGAAGTCATGCATACTGAAAAAAAATAAACATGTACAGAGAATGTTTTGTCCGGAAATATTATTCTATCAACAATTATTTATTTAATATTTTAACAAAATTGCTTCATACGACCCAGTAACCCAAATAGGTTTTCAGCTAATGGGAGAAACAGTCCTTCTTAATCAATAGGGCAATCAAGCAAGTATCGTTTCATGGCGCCTGCCTGCATTTTACCCGTCATAACTCGAAATGGATTTTTCTTGTTATGACACGCCTACATTGTTTTTGAATTGCAGAGTCTGTTCTATTGGTCAACGATAAGTACGATACGTCCCAAGGAGGTACTTCTATCACAAACCGTCAGGTGGCACAGTTTCTGAAATTCCATGGTGCTACAGTTCATGTTACAGCTTTGCAAGCATCTGAAGATGACAAGAGGTGTGCCACAGAGGATGGTGTCATTTTGCATCTTCCTGTCAAAAAACCCAGGGACAAGAGGACGCCTTCTTTGGAATGGTTGACTTTTGAGCACAACAATCATTACCCAGACATACCACAGGATCTGAAGTGCATAGTGGGGCATGTAGATGTTACAAGTGAAGCTGCAAAGAGCATACAAGAAGACAACAGGCAAAATTGGTCCTTTTCAACCACGACATGCCTGAAGAGACGGAGTACTACGAAGGAGCTGAGAAAGCGATGACCGCTGGAAAGAAGATGGAAGACATCCTCGAGGATACCAAGAATGCAGATGCCGTGTTCTCCTTGGGAAGAAGAATCTACGACTACTTCGAGACAAAGTACAGGTCACTTGGAGAAAGCAGGCCAAAAAAACACTTCTTGTTTCTTCCAAGACCATCCCCAGTGTTCGAGGCCATCTCTGTCAGACCAGGAGGAGGGCAGAAAGTCGTGCTGTCTGTTGGGAGAGTGACCGAAGTGGACAAGCTGAAAGGCCGTGACGTCATAGCACGGGCCATGGGGGAGGTGGCAGAGAAGATCACAAACGTCAGTTTGCGTGTTCGCGGGATAGATGAAGATGACTATGAAGCGAGCAAGAAAATCCTGGAGGAGAACCTGCACAGTGGTAACATCAAGCCCACACTACGGCCGTGTGGAACCCAGGAGGATATCGCTCAGGAAATGAAGCAGGCCCATCTCGTCGTGATGCCGTCCCGCGCCGAGCCGTTCGGACTGATCGGTCTGGAGGCCATCGCAGCAGGCATCCCGGTACTCATCTCTGATAAGTCAGGCCTGGCAGACATGATCATGGACTTGATCGAGAAGGAGAAGTGCCCTGCAGATATGAGGCACAGGATTGTAGAAACCAGTGTGAGGGAGTCCGATTTAGATGTCGCTGCAAAAGAATGGGCAAAGAAGATCGTGGACACGTTGAAGCACTCTAAACATGAATTCGACAAAGCAGCAGAATACAAGAAGAAGCTCTTAGAGTCTAAGTACTGGGAAGAGTCACACCAAAACCTGCTGCGGGTCTGTGGATTGAGTGACTGACTCTAGATCGAGTCCACTCTCCCACATGTCAGACTCCTTGTCGCTGATTCTGGTCCACGGACGTTTACTGCCATCGTTACTGTGTGTTCCAAACCAAAAGCAAGACTTAACAGTGACCTCATATATTAGTGGCCATGTATAGTTTCAAAGATGTATTCACTGGTGTTGACCTTGTTTATGCCTTCTCTATCATGTACGTTCTAACCAGGGCAAAGTAACTAGCTGGCTTGGAACTTCTGATATAGATTAAGATTGGTGTAGCTAGGAACTTAAAATGACCAAATATTTTCAATCTTAAGTAAATTTGATTTTGTACATAGACATGTCCCGAATTGCAAGGTGCCTTCATTCAATACATTTGTAATAATAATAATAAGTTTCATACATTGTAATGAATTGAACTAGCATGTATTTATGCGTTCTAAATTCACCAATAGATATTACCAGTGTTGCAAACATTTTCAGTGTGGTTAAAGTTGTACTCCTTAAATTCCTGCTGTTTCATACGTTATTAGCAAAAGAATGGTTTACAAACTATAACGGCTACACTGTCCTTATTTCACTTTTACATATCTTAAACTAGACACAAGATGTACGTATTAGGAACCACTCATAGGTTGTCCGGGGACTTTCCCTTATCAATAGCTCCCCACTCTTTCACTAATTACATTATTGTCATTATGTAAAAAAAAAGAAGACAATAATGGAACTCTTGCACAATCAGAATACTAAAATCAGCTACCTTCCAATTCCCTGCCAAGTATGGTGATGTTTTTGACTTGATTCTGATTGAAATGGCCGCCTGTGTTCTCCCAGACGGAAATGTTACAAACAGGATGTAGTGTTCCCTTGAAGTCCTTTCCACGCATCATATTTCACTGAACACCAAAAAAGTCCTACCTGGCCTTTGAGACTTAAAGTTAAAAAGTTAAAGAGCCTTACGCCAGACAATTACTACGGTAAAAGTACGGTCAAAAACAGTCTGTTGTGCCCACGGCCACATGCAGTATGGACGGCAACAGGTATCCACGGCCCTTGGCGATTGGCAATGATGTTTATGACCAGGCTGAACCAGTGAATCCCATTCGTGCGAGAAATGCCATTAGAATAGTTGAAATCCGACAACACACAGGCGAGTCTGATTCTTGTGCGGGATGGCATCAGTACTCGGTACCGCAGCCGGTAAGGCTGCCCCCGCGGCGTCTCCGAGAGGCAACGGCCGAGAGGGAGTGTTCGCCAGGTCGGCAGGAGGGTGTGTACGAAGAGGCTGAGCCGGTCGTGATTCAGGCAGCTGCAGGAGAAGCTAGTTTTGAGCAGGAGACAGGTGGACATGAGGACCGCACCCAGGCACAGAAGGGCGTTCCTCAGCTGCAAGGTCAGTTCAAGGTCACCATTAAGCAACATTTCCTATCTGTCAATCTTGTCCTTGAAACAAACAAAATTCATGTCAGCCTTATTGATAACAACGAAAGTCTATGGTATAATATAGTATTAAATACATTTTGTGTTGCAATGGACTCAGCAAAAAGGTTTATTGCTGTTTTATTCCTCTATTCATTTCCTTTTTGTAGTCACGCCAATTGGAAAAATCCCGGAGAAAAATGTACGTTTTATGAGACGCAAATCTGCACATTTTGTCATTCATTGTAAGAACATCAGAACATCAACACAGCAAGAATTGAGATCTCCTGGGATCCAAGTTGGTCACTTTATGCACTTGAAACATTGATGCCATGGAAGCCTGCGCCAGACATATTACTTACATTTATGCATCAAACTATTGAAAACAGCTTCCTGGAAAGATCAACCTCTTTTCATCTCAACCGCTTTTGAGAAAGAAATATCTGAGAAAACATCTCAACATTAAACCATTCTTTTCTTCTCTTCCAACCTCAGATGGCGACAAACATCTCGCGTGTTGCTGGATGAAGTCTTTATCCAGGCTGATCTGCGCAACGGTTGCCTTGACAACATTGGTCGTCATAGTAACGACGCTGGTCACCACAGAGACCGTCGCCATGACGACCGCGTTCCCTTCATATCAGGTTGATGTGGGAGTGCTTATGCCTTTCCTATCGTTGCCTTCTAAACACAGCTTCGTCAGGCTATAGCTTCCACAAAGAACTAATCATTTCAAATCTGCCAAAGAGATTACATAATGAACTGACACACTAAGATAACGGTAATCCAGACGAAGCAGTGAATGAATGTTTAAAATCGTGATCTGACACTACGATTGCCACCTTTTGCTTTAGCGTGGGGTTGACTCCTTGCTTAACCCTCAACAGAATACCTTCCCGGACTGATTAATCTGTACACCTGGGGTCCGCGCGGACCCCAGAGCAGTTTTTTGCTAATTTTTAGAAATTATCAACATGCTATCAGCTCAATTGAAACTGATGTGGGAACCTCTGTGTCCACATTACATACAAAAATCATACATTTTGAACTTTCTCTATTTTTTGGTGAAGAAAAGAAGACAAGAAGAAATACCCTATTTTGAACCCATTTCAGACTGAAGGGGCTTTTGAGGCCCAACTTTGATCTCAGATAGCGGCTAAGCGGCTTGCGCTAGAATTATCAAATTTGGAGACCTTTCCTAAAATGTCTCTGGAAAAAAGTTCATATTAGCTTTATACTAGTAAGTTGATGTTTTTTTGTGTTGCCATGGCAACGGGTTTCTAGCAGGCAGTTTTTTTAAAATAGAAGTAATTTTGGTTTAAACATAAAAATTTTATGAGTTTTATATAAAATTACACTTCTTTTCCAACATTAATAACATCTTACATAATTAAATATAAGTTAAATCATTTAATATGCATAGAATATGCTAATTTGATGACGTCATTGGTCAAAATCCAATATGGCGGACTATGTTATTAGCTCTGACGTCATATGACGTCATAATTACACCAAAGTTATTAACATTTAATTCTATTACTACACCATTCTCTGAAAACTTGGTAGACATACGATGAATGCATAAAAACATATAAAAACGGAAATAAGGTAATGTATAAGAACGCCAGTGTATCCGTTATGATCGAAAGCCGGCTGGGGTCCGCGCGGACCCCAAAAGAAAATCAGATATAATTTTTTTTATAAATGGTAGAAACGGAGTTTTCTGCACTGTATTGAGAGACAACTTTGTGGGTGACAATTACCTAAAATTTCAGAAAAAAATCTTTAGAAACAAAAAAGATATTACAGAATATATAGTGCTGGGGTCCGCGCGGACCCNCCTGGGATCCAAGTTGGTCACTTTATGCACTTGAAACATTGATGCCATGGAAGCCTGCGCCAGACATATTACTTACATTTATGCATCAAACTATTGAAAACAGCTTCCTGGAAAGATCAACCTCTTTTCATCTCAACCGCTTTTGAGAAAGAAATATCTGAGAAAACATCTCAACATTAAACCATTCTTTTCTTCTCTTCCAACCTCAGATGTCGACAAACAACTCGCGTGTTGCTGGATGAAGTCTTTATCCAGGCTGATCTGCGCAACGGTTGCCTTGACAACGCTGGTCGTCATAGGAACGACGCTGGTCACCACAGAGACCGTTGCCATGACAACCGCGTTCCCTTCATATCAGGTTGGTGTGGGAGTGCTTATGTCTTTCCTATCGTTGCCTTCTAAACACAGCTTCGTCAGGCTATATCTTCCACAAAGAACTAATCATTTCAAATCAGCCAAAGACATTACATAATGAACTGACACACTAAGATAACGGTGATCCAGACGAAGCAGTGAATGAATGTTTAAAATCGTGATCTGGCACTAAGATTGACACCTTTTGCTTTAGCGTGTGGTTGACTCCTTGCTTAATGTATCATGGCAAATTAAGGAAATTATCAGCAAACGCTCAAGACGACAGAAGCCAATGTCTATAGCCTAAATAACCCCACCGTTGCCAAGGCAGTATTTCCATGTTAGCATCGTGCATATAAGTAGCCAACTGTAGTGAGACCTTTCTCGAGATACCATGCAGACAACCAACGTTTCCTTCCACAGACGCAAACGCCTACTCAGCCGAGCTGGACGACTGTGGCCCTCTCACGGAACACAACACGAACAAGTGTGACCAACGGCAAAACCTCCCCCCAAGCACACGCCATGATGCCTCGCACAACAGCAATGACTCAAGAAGAAACACCACGTTTCCGAGCGGGATGGGTGCCTATGTACACAGGTATTGTCACTAGCAGCTAAGTGAAATAACTTCTGTAAAAGTGTAAGGTACTAGACAGAATCATAGGCATTTGTATGTGACGGAAGGAAAAGTATTAAACGATAGCCGATAAACATTTACCAAAGGCGGCATCTTTCTCTAATTGGTCAAGAGTTACCAAGGAACGCATGTCATTGAATATAGTAAAGACTTAATATATTTTTTCTGCCAACTCTAAGTAGAAAAAAAAAGTATCCTTCCTACTAACGTATTTGCACGGGATGAATTCTAACCTTACCATTGTCTAAATTTCAAGCCATGATGGAATCATTATGCCTTGCGCCCTGCAGCCTACTTGATATCGTTATGCTGTTCTTATTACAGACGAAGATGTAATGGCCGCGGAAGAGATGGCGATGTTCGGTAAGCAAGGCTCGGGGCCGGGGGAGTTTCAGAACCCGCGGGGGGTGGCCGTGTCTGCTGACAACGAGATCCTCGTGGCCGACACCTTCAACCGGCGAGTCCAAGTGTTCGACATCGAAGGCGTGTTTCTCCGGATGTTCCCAACCGCCACGCCGGAGGGTAACATGGTGGCTCCGGAGGACGTGTGCGTAGCCGGGGACGGCAGCGTGTGGATAGTCGGGAAGCACGCCTCTGGTACCGTCGCTGTGCGGTATGTAACATTGGGGGTTTATAGGCTCTACTGGCCGATGGGTCTGGACCTTTTAGCCGGGTTTGGTCGTGGGTTCGACATTTCCATGGATGTCGAATTCGGAAGAAAAGAAAAGGGGGAGTAGTGGAAGAATAGCTGTCACCCTCGGGTGGGCAGTTAAAGGAGAGTTTTAACTCAATAAACGCTCTCACCCGGCCGATGG